TCACTTTCACATGAGTATATATCTTATAATGATATTATTTTTAAATACTGATTAAACCTTCTAAGAATTAAAAGTACTTAGAAGAGTGTTTTGCCATGTGCTAATCTAATGATATGTTTTTGTAAGGGAATAGCTTGAAGAAAAATTATTACTGATGGTCCAAGTATCTTTTTTTCTCCTCTTGCTAACAACTAGAAGGAAGCTTAGGAATGTCATTTCAATATATCATAAATTTAATAGTCTATATTTTTTAGAATAGGTGTAATTTCTAGTGTTTCTGAAACTATCAAAAAGGACAGAACATCTCATTTGGGTCTGTCCAATAATAAAAAGAAACCAAAAGAAGAAGCAAGAAAGTTGGGATAGGGATGGAGACTAGTTAGAAGAAATTTATATCAAATGTGAAATCAATCAGTAAGCAAGAATCGGCCCTTTCCCTCTATTAATAGCTGGTCTGAAAACAGTGCCCTATTATAAAATATTGTAATGATAAATAATTTGATCCAGCACAATATATAAATTAGTCTCAGATATCGAATTATGAAATCTTTAAGATCTTATTACAAGCCATAGGATAAATTGATATTATCATATTTGACATATTCCAACACGTTCTTCTTGTGCTTTTATTACCAGTATGTAAGAAATGGATCTGGGAGACTCTTCTGTGTTGTTAGATAATTTGTACTCCTCCTCCATTCAGTTTTATATTTAAAAAGTCATCTTATGACATGATAATACATATATCGTCGTAAATTGCATACTCTAGATGAGTTATAGCCTACGTCCCTTTACACCTGATATACTTGAGATGTAAATCAATTCACTAACCTCATTTAATAATCAGATAATTATTTTACACTATCTGTCTTCTATCTAGTCACTATAGAGTGAGCTCTTTAAGGTCTAGGGTCTTTGTCTCATTCTTATCTATTTATTTATTATTTATTTATTTATTTTGAGACAGAGTCTCACTCTGGTTGCCCAGGCTATAGTGCCATGGCATCAGCCAGCTCACGCAGCCTCAAACCTCCCTGGGCTCAACCAATCCTTCTGCCTCAGCCTCCGGGTAATCGGGACCTACAGGACAATGTGCGCACCATCGCGGTATTGTTCTATATTTTTTATTGACAATTATTTCTTTCTATTTTTAGTGAGCAGGGTTCACTATTGCTCAGGCTGGCCTACACTCCTGACCTTGACGCTCCCAGATGTTAGGATTAAGGGCGAAGACCACCATGCCCTGCCCGTTTTTATTTATTTATTTAATATGGATGCATTGTTGTGTTTATTTAGAGATCGGGTTCACTCTTTTGCCCTGGCTAGAGAGCAGTGTGCCCAATTGTGGCTCACTGTAGCCTCAAATACCCTGGGCTGAAGTGATCTTCTTGCTCCAGCATCCTGAGTAGCTGGGACTACAGGTGCATGCTACCATGCCTGGTTATATTTAAAATTTTTTGGTATAATGGGTCTTTCTATGTTGCCCATGGTGCTGCTTAAACTCCTGGCCTCCAGCCGGGCATGTGGCGCATCGCTGTAGTCCAGCTCGGAGGCTGAGGCAGTAGCGCTCGCGAGTCGCTGGAGATTGAGTCTGCCAGGCCGACGCCACTGGCACTCACTCTAGCCGGCAACAGTGAGATCTGTCTCCAAAAAAACACAAAAACAAACAAACAAACAAAAAACAACAAAAAACTCCTGGCCTCGAGCATTCTCTCACCTCAGTTGCCAAAGTGCGTGATTACAGCATGGATCACTGTACCCAGACTTGTATCATTTTAACCTAACATAGGTTAGTTCTGTTTCTTTTTTTTTTTTTTTGAGACAAGTCTCGCTTGTGCCCGGCTAGAGTGAGTGCCGTGGCCGTGGAGTCAGCTAGCTCACAACTCAAAACCATGGGCTCAAGGCAACCTGCTGCCTCAGCCTCCCAACGTACGCCTGGATACAGGCATGCGCCCTATGGCTGGCTGATTTTTCGTATAATATTAGTTGGCCAATTAATTTCTTTCTGTTTATACGTAGAGTCGGGTCTGCTCTTGCCCCCCGGCGCTGGTTTCGAATTCCTGACCTGAGGCAATCTGCCCGCCTCGGCCTCGCAGGAGTCGTTACGCAGCAGCCCAGTTCTGTTTCTTAATTACAGTAGGAAGCAAATGACTGTCCCTTAAAAGCAAGTTTGTATCCAGAACCAGTTTCTGTTTCTTAATACATAGAAGAAATGGACTGTCCTTAAAAGCAGTTTGTATCAGAAACTTTAAACTAGTAAATAGCCCATAAGGATTAAAGAATGTGAAATAAATTTCAAGTCTTTTGTATTTCTTTAGCTTCATTTATTTTGGTTCTGAAGTTGTGTACTTTTTAGACTCTAGATCTGGTTAGAGCATTACAAGATCTAGAAAATGCAGCTTCAGGTGATGCAGCAGTTCATCAGAGGATAGCTTCTTTACCTGTTGAAGTCCAAGAAGTATCTCTACTAGATAAAATAACAGGTAAGAAAAGAAACTGTGATGCAGAACTTTTTCAGGAGTTGGGATAAGGGAACAGCATATGTCATTTTTTTTGTTATATTAATATTTTATTATCCTGTGCTTTTCATAGATAAAGAATCTGGAGAAAGGCTTTCTAAAATGGTAGAGGATGCTTGTATGTTGTTGGCAGATTACAATGGCAGACTTGCGGCAGAAATAGATGACAGGAAGCAGCTCACTCGAATGTTAGCAGATTTTCTTCGATGTCAAAAGGAAGCCCTTGCAGAGAAAGAGCATAAATTGGAAGTGCGTAACCTTTTCCTTCTTTAGTACTTATTTATTTAACTTACTTTTTTATAGGAATTTAAAAATATTTCAATGTACATTTTGCATCTTTTTAACCATAGACCTTTTTAGGCAGTGGCTCAGGTAAGCAGCTCCTTGCGTTAATGGATTTTCTTCTACTTGAACCAAATCAACCTGCCTGTCTAAAGAAATTTAGAATTAGCAGAATTTATTGCATTTTAAAATTATTCATGTGAAATTCCATGTAATGGTAATGTATCTTACCAGTTCAAACCCTTATTTCGGTCACAAAAATAATAGGATAAATAGCAGTTGGTATAAAATGTGGTGTTAACTGCAGTAAATTGTGGTTGGATTTATTATTTTATGTTTTGAGTACATTCAGTGTTTTAAGTATATCATTAAGTTTTCACATTACTCCTTTATTCACCCCTGGTTCTGATGCTTAACATATTCCTACTCCCCACTCCTGGCTCACACCCTTAGGTAGCAATTCATTGTTCTTTTATTTTTTTTTTTTGAGACAGAGTCTCGCTTTGTTGCCCAGGCTAGAGTGAGTGCCATGGCATCAGCCTAGCTCACAGCAAGCTCAAACTCCTGGGCTCAAGCAATCCTCCTGCCTCAGCCTCCCGAGTAGCTGGGACTACAGGCATGCGCCACCATGCCCGGCTAATTTTTTCTATATATGTTAGTTGGCCAATAATTTCTTTCTATTTATAGTAGAGACGGGGGTCTCGCTCTTGCTCAGGGTGGTTTCGAACTCCTGACCTCAAGCATTCCGCTCCCTTCGGCCTCCCAGAGTGCTAGGATTACAGGTGTGAGCCACCGTGCCCGGCCCATTGTTCTTTTAAATTAAGTAATGATTGATACTGTTGATGAGAAGTCTGGGGGTGTAGGAGGTAATAAAAAGAAACACACTCATCTTTTCTTTGATTAGAGTAGCTATTTTAAGGAGTAGATGAGCCAGGTTTAGTTTTATTTAAAATAAACTTTCAGTTGAGTAGTTCTTGTTTAAATTGTTCAACGCTATAGCAACTTCTTATTCTAATAGTATGGGAGAAATTCTAATTTGTGTAGATCCATTTATTTGTGGATAGTTCACTATAAATTTGTAGGTAACTTATGGTACTACTCATATTAAGTTGCTTTATTAGTGCTTAGTTCTTGGTTCAGCACTCTCTAATTGTGCCAGAAATGGTGCTTAGATTAGATTGCCATTGCTACCTGTGAGATTACTCTCACCCCAAATTCCCAGCTCTCAATTTAGTACTACCCCTCTTAAATTTGCTCCTACTCTGCTCACATAAACACCCTTAGATAAGTGTTGGCACTTTCAAGAGGTTGCTCACTTCTATGTGGAAAAGAAAAGATGGATTTTCTTTTTTAAAAATGAATTTGATAGTTAACTTGCCAGTATTTGATCTTGTGATGAAAATTCAATCTTACACATATTATTATTGGTTTTATTGTTTGCAGAATTAAAGGGTAAGTAATGTCATACAATTTTTGTGTTTTAGCATGATTTCTTTAACTTCTATCAAGCTTCTGTTGCAGATATTGGACATGGGCGTATCTTCTAATGATGTCATCACCATTAGCATATTCCTGCTAAAAATAAATATCAAACTCCAAAGCCTGTATTGTCTCATGTTTCTGAAAATTTAAGAGAAGACTGAAACTTTATTTTTCTGCTTTATATTGCTTTCTCACTTATGATTTTGGTCATTTCTCACCATTTACAAAAATGAAATTTATGTTTGAATTGGAAGTGTAGAAAATAGATCAGATGCCACCCCCTACAACCTCTTCTTTTTCCAGTGCCTTCCAGCCAGATTTTGTAGTTGATAGTCACAGATGAAGCTGATGATAGTAACAATGTTAACATTTACCATGTGTCAGGTACTATTGTAGGCACTTCACATAATCAACTCATTTAATCTTACACAGCAAGATGTATTATTAGCCACATTTTACAGATACGGAACTGATGCACAGGGAGATGAACTGAGATTGCCCAAGGTCACAAATTATTTGGAACCCAGGGAATCTGCCTCCATAGCCGGTACATTTCATCAAAAAGATACATTTTTCTGTCTGAAATTTGCAGGGTTGAAAAAAATAAAAAAGATATACTTGCTTACTATAAAAGAAGTGTAAGATTATAACAAATGCTAAAGCCCTATTTCTCCAACCCTTTCTGCTCCTTCTCTCCTCAGAGATAATCACTGTCTTGAAATACAGGGTTCTAGGAACCTTTTTTTGTTGTTCTTTTCACATAAATAGATTATATTATAAAGAAGAAACCACCTCAGTTATGTTCAAGATTTTGTTTACAAGTAAAGAAATACTTAGATTTTTACAGAAACTTGGAAGTTATTCCACAGAACTCTTTGTAAATTACTATTTAGAACTAAGTGATTCCTTTGTTAGAAGAGGTGAAAATGATTTGAGATATTTGGACTTTTTTTGGTACCAAGATATGGACTTTTTGGGGGGCACCACTTTGAATTTGAGACTGAGAGGTGAAGATTTATACTTATACATAAGCTGTGATATCATCAAATAGTTTTCAGTTATCATGCGTCTTAGAGTATTAACTGTAATTGACCAAGTACAGATGTGTCATTAGTTCCTCTTTTTTTGAAAATGGGACATAAATTTAAGTATCACTTCAGAAATTGGCTATTTCATATTCCTTTCTTTTTTTCTTTTCTTTTCTGTCTTTTTTTTTTTTTTTTTTTTCTGTTGCCCTGACTAGAGTGCTGTGATGTCAGCCTAGCTCACAGCAACCTCCAGCTCTTGGGCTCAGGCGATCCTCCTGCCTCAGCCTCCTGAGTAGCTGGGACTACAGGCATTCGCCGCCATGCCCGGCTAAATTTTGATATATATTTTTAGTTGTCCAGCTAATTTCTTTCTATTTTTAGCAGAGCCGGGTCTTGCTCTTGCTCAGGCTGGTCCCGAACTCCTGAGCTCAAATGATCCTCCTGCCTCAGTCTCCCAGAGTGCTAGGATTACAGGCGTTTGCCACCATGCTTTGCCCTTGTTTTATATCTTAACATTTGTCTTTGCCTTTATAGATTCTGGGCTTTCTAGTTATACTTAAGATGGCCTTCTCAATTCATAACTATGGAATTACTCCACAATTTTTCAGGAGTTTTTTCCTGACAATTTTATCCATTGGAATTTCTTTAAGGGTATGATATAAGGATCTGTTTGAAAGTGATAGTAAAATGTCCTTTCAGTTTATTGATGAATCAATTAATTAGTAATTTAGTCTGTCTTTACTACTGTTTTGAAATGTCATTTGTCATCTGTAATTCCTATATATTTATGTGTGTAGATGGGAATGTAGTTTGTCCCTTTTCTACTGGCTCATTTGTCTTACCCACCTTTAATTACACAGTAGATTTTGATTTTGATCACTTTCTAGTATTCATGTTTATAATTTTAATTACAATTATTGTTAAACAATTTTTTTTTTTTTTGAGAGAGAGTCTCACTCTGTTGCCTGGGCTAGAGTGCCGTTGCGTCAGCCTAGCTCACAGCAAACCTCAAACTCCTGGGCTTAAGCAATCCTCCTGCCTCAGCCTCCCAGATAGCTAGGACTACAGGCTTGCGCCATTATGCCTGGCTAATTTTTTCTGTATATTTTTAGTTGTTTTGCTAATTTCTTTCTACTTTTAGTAGAGATGGGTCTCACTGTTGTTAAACAAATTTTTATTCTTTTTTTTCACATATTTTGCCTTTATAATTCATATTTTAAATGGGCAATATTTTGTTAATTAGACATTTAGCCTTTTCTCTATTTTTGAACATATTTGCTATTTTTGTCTGTCAGTCTGTTTGGTAGATATATTTTATTTAGCCTTTCTTATATTTTTGAACATATTGTTTGCTGTTTTGTCTGTCAGTCTATTTGGTAGATATATTTTCCAGGTATTAACAGTTCTTTCGTAAAACTTTTTGTTTTCAGAAATAAAGTTCAATTTGCATTTTTAAATGCTTAATATAAATTTTGTTTTACCTGAGACAGTTAATGATTTAGAAGTTCCTAGTGTCATATTCTCTTAACATAGGACATAAGATGGTTTCAAATATATAGCACTGAAAGTGAAAATTTAAAAGTCTATTCCTGAAAGTGTTATCCTGAATGTATCATTTTATGGTTACTGATTTATCAAATTACAAATGTTATTCAAGGACATAGTGGTAACAATATGGAGAACTGATTATGGAGTCTTTCATCTGTTGTTCAGTTATTTTTTATAGTTATTTTGGTTTGTGTTTTTCCATTGAAATCGTATTTTAGAGGCATACCTCAGAGATTTGTGTGTGTAGTTCCAGACTACTGCCATAAAGGAATATTATAGTAAAGCAAACAACACAAATTTCTTAGTTTCCCAGTACATATAAATGTTATGTTTACACAATATTGTAGTTTATTAAGTGTGCAGTAGCATTATTTCTATTAAAACAACATATACTACCTTAATTAAAAAATGCTGGTGACCATCTTAGCCTGCAGTGAGTCAAATCTTTTTCCTGATGGAGAGTCTTGTCTCAAAGTTGATGGCTGCTGATGGAGGAGGGTGGTGGTGGTTGAAGGTTGGGGTGGCTGTGGCAATTCCTCTTTGCTTTTGTTTCCTTTCTTTCCCTTTTCCTTTTCCTTTCCGTCTTTTTTTTTTATTTCAGCATATTATGGGGGTACAGATTTTAAGGTTTCAATAAATGCCCTTTCCCCCCTTCTCCCCACAAGTCTGCGTTTCCAGCATGACCATCCCCCAGATGGTGCATATCTCACTCATTATGTATGTATATACCCGCCCCCCTCCCCTCTCCCACGTGCCCAATACCCTATTATTGTAGTACCTATGTGTCCACTTAGGTGCTGCTCAGTTAATACCAGTTTGCTGGTGAGTGTATGTGGTGCTTGTTTTTCCATTCTTGGGAAACTTCACTTAATAGTATGGGTTCCAGCTCTAACCAGAAAAATATAAGAT